TTTATTATTCTTGATAATTAATAATTATGTTACAATGGATCACCTAAACACTAGTACGACTTTAACTTTCTGTGTAAGTAAACAATGCTCTTGATTGAAAAAAATTCATTGTGACTTACAACAGTGTCATGTTTTTAGAATCAGCTTCTAAATGGTTATGTAATGCTACACAGACCCTCAAGGAAAAAAAATACACACACATACACATATCTTATATATCTGATTTGATATATATCTTTCCCCCCTCATTCTATTTTTTTTTTAATTTCTCAGGATACAGAGTAGTTACATTTCCTACTAAAATTTGAAATTAGTAGGTAAGCATTAATTAAGATTATCTTAGTGCTAGAGTGATGGCTCAGTTTTTAATGTGTTTGCCATGAAACTGTGAGAACTTGAGTCAAATCTCCAGACTTTTGGAAGAAGCTGGATGTGGTAGCACATGCCTGTAATCCTAACCCTGTGTTGCCAGCTAGTCTTGCTGAATTGTTAATCTTTAGAACCCAAGAAGAACCCTTTAATAACAACAACAGCAACAGCAACAACAAAGCAGCGGAAGCGTCCACCCACAAACATAGACATGTGCACATGCATAGAACATACAGCCTGGTTTTGGATGATTTAAATCATCCAAATGATTTGACATAAATCATAAATAGCCTGGTTTTGGATGATTGTGGCTAGGATCAACACATGTCAATTCTGTTTTTTAAAATAGTGATTATGTTGTTATTTTGAAATAATTGTGTTAGGTGTCCAACACAGTGTCCAAATCGGTGTCTACTTATTCAAATTTTTATCTTATACAGTGCTATATACTTTAGTATCTGTGAGGATCATAATACAGAATTGCTTTATGTGCTTTTAAACATCTTAAGTATAGATTAGAATTTCAAGATTATTATTTATCTTTCTATTCTGTCTCAGATGTACCTGCCTGAAAATTTCATTTCTCTTTGGATTATAAACCCCTATCTTAATAAAAGTCCCTTCTAGTGTAACTTAGATTAAAAACTATATAGATATCTTACCTTTATAGAGACAGACATATGGAATGAATTGCCATTCTAAAAATTTGCTGTTTCTTAATAACTATCATAGGCAAATTACTTTGATTTTTGGTCATATTTAAAGAAATGATTTGTGTCTTGACTAGGATTATGGTTGTTTTTTTTTTTAGTACTGTTCTTAAAATTGTTTTTCTCCCATTGACCTTTCCTACTTTCTTCCACTTCTTTTCTCTCAAAAAACAGCTATCATTTCTTTAATGTGTGCATGTGTGTATTTGTGTGTGTTACTAAATATATAAAATAGCCTGCTCCAATATGGTTACTTGTATGTATATGATTTCAGAGCTGATTACTTGGTATTGGATAACCAGTTTTGGGGCACTTGCCCAGGGAAGACTAATTCACTGATTCTTCTGCTCTCAACATTTCCTAATGTGTGTGTGTGTGTGTGTGTGTGTGTGTGTTTTGTCTAGGGTTGAGGCCCCATGAGGTTAACTCCTGTTCTCTTTAGTATGTCTGTTTGTGTTATCTTTGTTTAGGTTTTATTTAGTCAGCTGCATTGATGAGACTTCACAGGTATCATTTCTAGGAAATGAAATCTTATAGCAAATTATCCTGTTCCTCTGTTTCTTGCTGTGTTTCCTGTCCCTCTGATCCCTGAACCTTAGGTACAGGAGTTGTGTTGTGCATGTATCAGTTGGGGCTGGGTACTCTATGGTCACTTGTTCTCTGTATTTTTATTGGTTGTAGTTTTCTACAGTGACCTGTTGTTTGTTGCAGGGAGATGTATCTTTGATGAGGGGCGAGATCTCAACTTGGCTGTAGGTATAAATATTTATAATGTAGTTAGGATTATACAGGTTTAGTAAACTGGTGCTTTTAGGTTCTCTTCCAAGATCTATGACTTCACTGCCCCTGGTAGTTGTCTATGTTTTTAATACCAGGCACGGCTCTCCTCTTGTTGAGTAGACATTACATTCAGTTAGAGCAATGTTAGCTATCACTAAGGTATGCATACCATCATTGCCCCCTTTGGGATAGCATATCCTGCTGTCCTTGTTTTAGTTTATAGGTGTTACAACTGGGTAGGTCTTTTGGTTGCTTTTCTCCTTTGGAAGCTTGCATGGTACTATCTTGTATCATGAAAACTAGTCCTTAGGAAGGAGGCTTTCAGATCAGAACCAGCTTGAATTGTTTGGGTTCTGTGTCTGAAGTACAAGATACTGTCTCTTCAGCAATGGAGACATAGCTTCAACCTCTAGGAGACAATCGAGGGCAATTAAAATAGCCTGTGTTTTCAGAGTCTCTTTGGACTACTGTGACCAGTGCATTAAAATGTACCCTTTGGCTAATACCATATTCCTTTGTGAGATATTAGTTATAAAAGGATAAAAGGGGAGTACCTGAATTTTGTTATTGACAGTGTCTGGCCTTCCTCATCTGTTTTGTACAGGATAAATATTGACAGAGGTTTTCTGTCATACCCAGTCCTGCAGTCATTCTGTCCCAAAGAAATACACAGAGGTCTACATTAATTATAAACTGGTTGGCCTAGTAGCTCAGGCTCCTTATTAATTAATTCTTACGTCTTATATTAGCCCATTATTCTTATCTATTTTAGCCACGTGGCTTGGTACTTTCATCAGTGAGGCATTCTCATCTAGCTTCCTCTGCATCTGGGTGACAACTGCAGACTGAATCTTTCCTCTTCCCAGAATTCTACTTCTTGCCCTACCTCTACTTCCTGCCTAGTTGACCTGCCTATACTTCCTGCCTGGCTACAGGCCAATCAGCATTTTATTAAACAAGTACAAGAAACAAATCTTTACAGGGTAAAACCATTGTCCCACAGCACTCCCCCCCCCCTTTTTTTCAAAACAAGAACTCTAAATCGAATCTCCCTTGTTTAGCTTTCTTCCTGACTGTTATCTATACAACTTGTAACCAACACTGTAAACAAAGAAAAACATCCATAATCAATTTTTGGGGAATGCGGGTATAGTTTTCCAGGCTACTTCCTGCTGCTTGGGGGCCCTGGTAATCTTAAAGGGACCTAAAGAAAATTTAGAATTACTGTCAAGTCCTGAGTGGAAAATTCTGTGAGGCTTAATCATATCAGCTTTCACTCTTGAAACTGTTCTGGATGTAGAACTCAGAGGAAACTAAGTTCTGAAACGTTGGATCATCTGGGCTATCCACTCCTATCAGAGATTTCTCAAGGGGGTCTTCCTTGATCAACCTGATTTTTGTTATCCCAGAATGAGTCTACAGCTTCTCATTTCCTGTGGAAAACAAAAACAAAACCTCTTCTCCAAAGTAACATATTTTTTGACTTAAATTTTGAAGTCAAAGCATTTTCAAAATGTGTATGCTGGATTAATCTAGCAACATTTATAATCAAATGTCTTTTAGCAGCTGTTGCTCCTTTCTCAACAGTCATACAATTCAAAGAAACCACAATAACTCTCTCACAATAATAATAATAATAATTCTCTGTGTATTTTCCATCTTTACATGGCTTTATTTTAAACTATTTCTTTTATTTTTATATTTAATATTAAATATATTTGTTTTTTGAAATTAGGTTTCTCTGTTTATCTTTGACTGTCCTGGTACTCACTCTGTAGACCAGGTTGTCCTCGAACTTACAGAGATCCTCCTGCCTCTGCCTCCCAAGGTTTGGGATTAAAGGTATGTGCCACAACACTCAACTACTCTCTTTCTTTCTTTTTTAAGGACTTTATCCTTTTTCTTTTCTCTCCCAAGCCTACATATGTTTTTAAACACACTGTAAACCATTTAGATGTTCTCTATGTCTTTGAATATCTTTACTGTATTCAGTAAAGATACAGAAAAGAGATCTCCTTTTCTGACACAAGAGTCTTTAATTTGCTAACCCATGTGGCTAGGATTAAAGCCGTGGCTTTGATGGCTGGATCCAGCCCATTTCTTAGCTTTCTAGCCTCATGGTGGAGGTACCAGCTGGAGCCATGTTTATTCCACAACTCTATGGCATTTCAAGGTCCTGCCACCACCAAGAAGCATACTGTTGGCTATTCATAAAAACCATTTAATTTTTTCTAGTGGATGATCTTAAAACAGCTACAAGGTTTTAGCAGCTAATGCTGAGTCAGGAAATCTCTCTTAAATGAGACTTGCTTGCCTCAAGCAAACAGAGCCCACACAAATAAAACCTGCTACCAAGAAACCATGCTTAACTCTTCTTTTGTGTGTAGAATTACTTCCCAAGCTCTCTCAGGTTTTATATGGATGTAGTTGTCCACATTGGTGCCATTTGTTGATAATAGTTTTCTGTCATGCTCAGTCCTGCAGTTGTTCAGTCCCAAAGAACTACACAGAGGTCTACATTAATTATAAATTGGTTGACCTAGTAGATAAAATATATGTGTACATTGCCGGTGGGTTAGGAAGGTTTCACTTACTTGTATTGACTTGTCTTTTACACACACACACAAACACACACACACACACACATACACATACATATGCATATATGTATTCACTGTTGCTTTTTTTACATTTATGTAACTTTAATATTTGCTCATGATTCCTCCCTAAGGTTATTGAAACTTTATGTATCACACAACAAATTTTATAGAAGTAACACAAACATACCCAAATTTCAAAAGTTTTTTTTAATCAATATTTTGTAATACATATGGCCCTTTATTATTTTGCATTGCTGGAATCAAATCTAGGTCTTGCTCATGGTAAGCAGATGTTGTATGGATAACCTATACTTCTAAGCACAACGAAGGCCTTTAGTGAAAAAACAAATATTGGTAATTTGAGGCTGATAGATAGCATTTCAAATGCAGTAAGTAATTTTTATCATGATGTATGAAAATTACTTCCTCAATATTTTATTGATATGACTATCACTAGCAGATTTGTCAAAAAATATTATTTGGTGGTAGATTTTGAAATGACCTATTGGAGTAAAAATTTTTAACTCTTTTTTTTTTTTAGGATATAGCAGATCCATTTTTTGCTTATTGTAAGCAACATGCAGATAGGTTAGACAGAAAGTGGAAAAGAAAAAACTACTTGGCTCTACAATCCTATTGTAAAATGTCTTTGCAAGAGAGAGAAAAACAACTGTCCCCTGAAGCACAGGTATGGAAATCACACCAAATCTTACTGTTTTCTATTCAGATCTCATGTGTTTTTTCTGTTGACATGTGATTGACACTGAAATCTAGCATATAAATGTAGTTTTAAAATTTTACTTAAGCAGTGGTTTGTGATTAAACATGAGTAGAGTTTCTTTCTGAAGTTATGTTTCATCATATCTGTGGTGTAGTCATTTTTAAAGTACTATTTCCATGTTGAAAAATTTGGTTGGAGGCATTATGCAGAGGGGTCTAAAGTAGAGATATTCATCAAATCCCTCCCTTCAGAGTCCAGGAAATCCTGCAAAAGAGGAGGCAAGAAGATTGTAAGAGTCAGAGGGGGTGGAGGACACCAGGAGAACAAGGCCCTTTGAATCAACTAAACTAGGTGCATTTGAGCTCACCATCCTGAAGCAGCAAGCAGAGGGCCTGCATATGTGTTATAGCTATTAGCTTAGTATTTTATGGGACTCCTGACTCTGAGAATGAGTGCATTTCCACTCTTTTACTTGCTCCTGGGACTTCTTTCCCCTTGTTGGGATGTCATGTCCAATTTTGATATGAAAGTTTTTTCTTCATCTTATTATATTTCATTTTGCCATGTTTGGTTATTATCACCTGAAAGCCTGTTCTTTTCTAATGAGAGGCAAAAAGTGAGTTGATCTGGAAGGGAAGGTAGGTAGGATGGAACTGAGGAGTGGAGGGAGGGGAAACTATTATCAGGGTATATTGTATAGGAAAAGAATCTGTTTTTAATAAAAGAAAACAGTCTTTTTTTTTTAAAAAAAAAGAATACAAGCTTCTAAGGGATTATAATATAATAAGATAAAATAAAAACTAGCACACTGGAATAGGACAAAACAAACAGAAGGAAAAAAAAACCCAAAAGAAGGCATAAGAAACAGATCCATTTGTTATCACACCCAGGAATCTCAAAAAAGCTAAATTGGAAGCCACACGCCACACTGTATATGTAAAGGACCTGTAGGGTGAAAAGGGAAATGAGAAAAAACAAAAACGAAAACGTGTGCGTGCGCGCGCACACGTGTGTGTGTGTGTGTGTGTGTGTGTGNGTGTGTGTGTGTGCGTGCGCAAACGTGTGTGTGTGTGTATGGTCATATAATTGTTTTTTATATGTGCATATATATATTACATATATAATATATATAATTGAAATTAAAACATAATACAAAAACTTTGTTTAAATAAAGGGAAAGATCTGACATGGTACTATAAGACAAGAATCCTTTGAGTTTGTTTGACCTTGTCCATATGCTGTTGGGTGTGCAGCCTATCCTTACAAGTGGTTTGTTTCCTCAGTGAGATTGCCTTGGAGGAAACTAGGTTTTCATTCACAGTGGTTATCAATTGGAGATTGCTTCTGGGTTAGGGATGCGGGCTCCTGTCCACTTCACCTTCAGCCCTAGGACCCCATCTGAAGGCAGCTGTTATGAGGTGTGGATCCATTTAGTGCAACTCTGGACTTATGTAATATATCTTCAAGACCACTGATGAATCTCATTTACCTTAATTGTAAGATTTAGTAAGATTTTAGTATTGTTATCTTCTCTAAGCATAATGTTAAAGTTATGAGGAATATATTCCATTTTTTCTGTCAAACTTTCTGCATTTCTTTATAGGCGAGGATCAATGCCCGACTACAGCAGTATCGTGCCAAGGCAGAGTTGGCTCGATCTACCAGACCTCAAGCCTGGGTTCCAAGGGAAAAGTTACCCAGGCCACTCACAAGTAGTGCTTCGGCCATTCGTAAACTGATGCGCAAAGCAGAGCTAATGGGGATCAGTACAGATATCTTCCCGGTGGACAATTCAGATACCAGTTCTAGTGTGGACGGAAGGAGGAAACACAAGCAGCCAGCTCTCACTGCTGATTTTGTGAATTACTATTTTGGTCAGTATAGACACTGATGCATGCACAGTCTCCCTGAGAATAATTTATTAATGACAGAATTTGATATACTAATAATGTTTTAGAAAATCATTCTTATGTTGTATATGTCAGAGCCATTTTTATTTTCCTAAGTTGTAGCATTTTGTAAATTCCAGGCTCATGTTTTGTTTTCTTAAATATACTTAAAATTGTTTGAAAAATGTTGGTTTATCCAATTGACCATCTCTGTGGCTAGTTTGATTCTTTGTGTATGTTTTATATTAGCCTTTACTATATACTGAAGTAAAATTGGATATTTAATTTAAATAGAGAGAAATATGCGCATGATTCAAATTCAGGAAAATATGGCTGAACAAAAGAATATAAAGGATAAATTAGAAAATGAGCAAGAAAAGCTTCATGTAGAATATAATAAGGTACGTTGGCTACAAATACACAGTATTTAGTAGATTGTCTTTATAATTCCTTTGTTATTTTTTTGCATTTCTGTGTTTCAGTGTGAAATTCTATAGCTCTTAGGCTCTTTTCTGACCTTCATCATCATTTTCATTATTGTCATTCTCTTACTGAGCACTTTCTTACGCCAGGCACAGTTCTGACCTCTATACACATAGTAAGTCATTTAGTTCTTTCCTTGTCCTTAGTGTGAGTCATCATTATTGTTCCTATTTTTAGGGGTCGGAACTGAGGTCTGAGGAGGTGACGTGACTTGCACATGGCCTTATAGTCATCTGGTCTCAGAGGTGGTGGTTTGTTTCTTTAATTCTTAAGTGCACAAAGCATTATAGACCTTTTAAAAAATAGGATTAAAATTGTAAAACCCACTCTTAAATTAGTAGTCTTTCTTTTTTAAATTTTGCTTTCTTTTTACCTTTTTGTGAGACAGGATTTCTCTGTGTAGCCCTGGATATCCTGAAACTCACTCTATAGACCAACCCTTCAACTCACAAAGATTTGCCTGCCTCTGCCTCTAGAGTGCTGGGGTTAAAGGCGTGTACCACCACCACCTGGCTAGAAGTCTTTTCTATATTAGATGGTATTTTTGCTATAAATATTTTCTAATTTAAAATATATTGTATCTCTTTGTTTAATAATATATAAATCAAGATATTGCTGAATTATTAGGTTCTAAGTTGCATGAATATTTAAAATGGTATCTAGTTATTCTTCAAAAAACACTTAAAGAGTTAAAACGAGTAGGAAGTAACATCTAGTAATCACTAAAGATCGTGAGGAGTTAAAGCTAGAAGATCTGGAGATTTTTGGTAGTTATTTTGATCTCAGCCAAATGAACCTCTGAGCCTTAGTTTTCTCATGAGAAAAGTGATGGAGATATGAATGATAAAGCAAAGTATGTGTCAAATTATTATGTGCCAAAATATAAAGAAATATATTGATATGTAATTACCATCATAAAAACACTAGAATAACAGAAAATGTTTGCCCTCTCTTGAGCATATCATCATGCTAAATAATAATAATATATCTGTCTTTCAGTAGTTATCTGACTTGAATACATTCTATGTTGAAAATAAATGTGAATATTTTTGTTTACATATTTGTACATATAAAAACTTACTAATTTTACTTACTCTTTGTAGCTCTGTGAATCTTTAGAAGAACTGCAAAATCTGAATGGGAAACTTCGAAGTGAGGGGCAAGGAATATGGGCCTTGCTTGGCCGAATTACAGGGCAGGTTAGTTTCTTTTTCGTAGCTCACTTCAATTCTTGCCTCTTGTGTAATTGTCCAGAGTATCTATTTCTTACACAACAGCCACTTTGGTGACTAAATGATTCTGTTCGATCAGAGCCTAATTCCCTAAGGTAATGATTTCTTTCTGAAATCCTTCCAGACTACTGGCAGCTACTGCCTGCTGAGAACCTGTAGCTTAATTTGGTTCTTTCGTCAACTATCTTGATGTCATTTTTTTCTCCACTTGCTCAAATTGATTGACCTGTCATTTCTGAGGAGCTAAGATATGAAGCATGAGTTTTCTCTAGTATATTCCTTATTCAGTGGTTTTAGATTTTTGGTCATAATTTTTTCTTTTCCATTCTTATACCCTACTTATTTCTTCAGTTTATTTATATTTAAAATTAAAAATTCAAACCACAGCCATGATTTTCAAGTTAATTTGATTTTCATCTGAGCAAGAGAAACAGTTTTTGAAACTTAGATGTTAAAGTGTGCTTTTTTTTTTATCTGTTGGTAACTATTAGTTGTAGTTATAGGACAAGCAAAAGGAAGGCCCTTTCTCCTTGAGCAATTGTAGCTTGTTAATATGCTTCATATTAAAATGAAAAACATAATAAAATGGAGGTTTTTGGATGTCCATTTATATATTGTGCAATAATTGATAAGATTTTTGTTTCAGATAATTTCAGTTATAAAGATAGGTGATAGAGACTCCCTGTTTATGGTTCTTTTTCTGTTAAAGTAGTTTGTAAGACTTTTAATTGTATACATCTCAGACACCTGTAAAAATCAACTTCCGGAGATAGTCTATGTAGATCTAAAGTAATGCATTTGAATTGTATGGAATTCTTTTGACTTTGAAGAAACTTCTTTTGTGAACAGATTTCATGTCAGTGGAACTACAAAGAATAATTCATTTTAAAAGGCAAAGAGGAGGAGTTGCCTTTGGACATATTAACTCTTGTTTTTTTTTTTTTTTTTTTTTTTTTATAATTTTATTTANATTTTGGTTTTTCGAGACAGGGTTTCTCTGTGGCTTTGGAACCTGTCCTGGAACTAGCTCTGTAGACCAGGCTGGTCTCGAACTCACAGAGATCCGCCTGCCTCTGCCTCTGCTGGGATTAAAGGCGTGCGCCACCATCGCCAGGCTATTAACTCTTGTTTATGTTAATAGGTAGTTAATAGATTTTAGGAAGGTTATGGTATTTAGGGAGTGTAAGAGGTTACTTCCCAATCTAGCATTTGTTTTGGCTTGGTTTATATTTCTTCCATAAAAACCTCCTCTATAGCTTAAAATATCTACTATAAAAGACATTTTTATTTATTAAATAACTTCATAGAAGATTGCAAACTGCATTGTGTGACGGTGGCATGCACAGGCCTAAAATTCACGTTTATCATTTTGTGATGCTTTTCCAGTTGGCCGAACAGATGTGGGCTCACCAGGCCACTACGAATGGTTGCTGTCTCTGAAGCCAGCATACTATAGATTAGTAGGGAGCCAAAGAGAATCTCATCTGCTTTTTTACAGGGTTTGGTCCAATAAGATAATTTTTCTAATTAACCTATGGAACAGCAATGTAGCTGGGAAGTTACAAAGAAACAACACTGATGTTTTTGCCCAAGTACACTGTGTTAACTGTTGAGCCTTCTCTGCTCTGCCCCACTTTTAGGGTTTTCGAGCTGAAGTAGTATAATTCTCATACTATCAAGTTTGTTTCTAAGAACTGATGAGATTGTCAATTAGAGTTTTCTTTCTCTTTGCTGATGTAGCTGGTAAAGCAGATTTGTCTCTCTGAACCCGAGCTTATTTAGTTACATTTAGTAGCAAATAGGGGGAAATGCTTCTTTTACTTCATCTTTAAAGCAGCATCTACTGCCTTTGTTCATGTCAATAGAAGTTGAATGTACCAGCGATCTTACGAGCACCCAAGGAGAGAAAACCAAGTAAGAAAGAAGGAGGCACGCACAAGACATCTGCTCTCCCTACAGTACTTTATAGGCAAGTAATAACATCATAAAAGATAATACTGCTTATTTTTCAACTAATATGTACTAGTCAGAAGGTGCTTTACATATCTGAGAGCAAATTATGGTCCATTTCAGAATTTCAGCTAAGTGTATTTCGGGTTCATTTGATCAAAAATGCTTTGTAAGGTGGATAATACAAGAGATATTTGTTGTTCTTCAGAAAGATATATGATGTACTTAGGAACTGAGAATAAATTTTTGTATGTCCCATGGAAACAGAATTCTTTTTAAGAAATTAGAAAATACCCAGATGAAATAGTTCAGGTGCCGTTGTTGTGGGAGCTGCTGGCCTCTTCCCACAGCCCGGCTCCTGGCCATTTGGCTAGCTTATACCCCGAAATAACAACACACAAATTGTATTCTTTTAAACACTGCCTGGCCCATTCGTTTCAGCCTCTTAACCCATTTCTAATAATCTATGTAGCACCACGAGGTGCACTTACCGGGGAAAGATTCAGCATGTCTGACCTGGTGGCTGGCTGCATCGCGTCTGCCCTGGAGAGAGCTGCATGGCGTCTGAGCTCACTTCCTCTTCCTCCCAGCATTCTGTTCTGTTTATTCCACCCACCTAAAGGCTGGGACAAGGCAGTTTCTTTATTAGCCAATGACCTTCCTCCATCATGCGGTGTTGTGCCTGTTATGTTAAATTTAATCTTTTAAATTTACTTATAATCAATAATTATGTAATTATTATGTTAATGAACATAATAAAAAAGTGAACATTTATATTTTACTTGAATATGTTGTAAAATTTTGCTTTTGATTTAGGTAGGGATGAATGATAGTGGATACAGATGATGACTTTTATATTTTAATTTGTTTGTACTTTTTCTCTCCCTTATCAGTTGTAATAATTTCTTTTCCAGACATACTTTTCACCTTTATTTTTTTTACTCAGTATTTTAACAGTATTGATCATTGTGCTTTTTCATGACAATTCCATTTTCTATATCTAAATAAAGTCCTCATTTTTTCTATATTTAAATAATAGATCACTTTTTCCTGGAATGTGTTAATCACAATAAGTGAGAGTTTAGAAAATATTTATATCTATTTATGTGTTCTAAATACATATATTAATAATATGCCTATATATGCACATATACATGTGTGTATATATGTGAAATATGTAAAAGCACATTATTGTCTTAATTTTTAGTGTGAACGTTAGTGTATCCCCAGAACTGTTTTCCCAAGTGTGGTAGGCATAGCACTAGATTTCTGGGTTTTATGACTACAGTTACTTTTTGCTTCGGAATATGTTTAAACTGATTTTTGCTTAAGATCAGGTGTTTTATTTTTTGATTACTGTTCATTTGTTTTATTATTACTGCTTTACATATGTGTTTTCTTGGAATATTGAAAACATCTGACATTATTATTCTTCAATTTGCTGTGCATTCCTGTTTTTCTTATGTTCTCAGACAACTTTTCCAACATTTTATATGTCCCCAATTTAAATATATGCTAAATTTTCAAGCCATGGTGCTCATTTTTTTAGAAGTAAAATTTTGTTTTCCCACAAGAAATGTTAACTAAAATTCATATCACTTGTGATATTATCACTAATAATTAGTATTTTTCTTTTAATTCAAGGTCTGGTGTTTGTGAAAAGAGAAAATGTAGCTTATTTATATGTTTAATGCTCTGTGAATGGTTTGCAGTTAATAATAAAAAAATCGTTTGTGAAATAATTGTTTTGACCTTCAGGGTAATTTTCAAAATTAGAATATTGTTTTTCAAATTTTTGTTTCTTTCATAGTTTATGTTTCTAAAGAAAAATTGAACTAATAACAAATTTTAAATAATAATTAAAAGGCTATATTGAGAATCTAAGTATTCCCATTCTTTAATGAGTTTAGCATTAGAAAACTTTAAGCGTATATTAGAACTAAGCTATATTTAACATACTGTATTTAGCTCTAACAGTTACTGGCGTTGTTAAAACAGTGGGTGCTATGGAAAAACATAAGTTGATTGCTGGGTCCTTGCAGCATATACCTATTGTTCCTACATGAGGTCAGGGCCAGCCTAGTCCATATAGCAAGGACCAGAAATGACATTAACAGAAGATGGTTGAACTCAGAGATGCTATAATGAAATTGTTTCCCTATGGATATCAGTGTAATTCTTATTTGCTGCTTTTATTGAAGTTGTGGAATTTGTAAGAAGAACCATGATCAGCACCTTCTTTTACTGTGTGACACCTGTAAGCTGCATTACCATCTTGGGTGCCTTGATCCTCCCCTTACACGGATGCCAAGAAAGACCAAAAACAGTTACTGGTGAGTTCAACAGACTGCATGTGGTTGGAATTGGTTTTCTATATCACTGATTCATAGTAAAGTATTTTTCATACTTTTGAATAGAATATTTATGTCTTTCTATTACATGAATAATTTTTATAGAAATTAAATTTTTAATCTTAGCAATGTGTTCTTTCTTACATAAGGCACCAGGGATTTTTCTTTCTTTTTTATGATTTGGTATTTCTCAAATTCATTAATTTTATTTTGAAGTTTAACAAGTTTTAAGTTTCATCAGCCATTCTTTGAAAATCCGGACACTTTGAAAACTTTTTTTTTTTAAGACAGAATCTCATTTTCCAGTCCAATATTGAAGTCATACATAGCTGGAGATAGCCATAGATTTCCTAGCCTCCTGCTTTTTCCTCCTGAGTGCTGGGATTATAGACCTGGGTCAACATGCTGTTTATGTGGTATAATGGATTGAACCCAGGGCTCTTGTGTGCTTAGCACTCTACCAACTTAACTACATCCCAGCATGACTACCATTTCTTAATTATCTTTTACTGACTTAGTCATGTTGGATCACTACAGATATTTTATTGACTTTTTTTTTGTTTCTGTGATGTAACACCCTGACGAAAACAACTTTAGAGAGGTCATATTTGCTCACAGTTCGAGGTACAGGCCCTCACGGCTGTGATGTCAAGGCAGAAAGAGCTTTGTCTCATGCCTAGGTAGTGGTCATGCAGTAAGATGGGGTTTTCTATGTCCTTAACATAATGCAGATGGTGCCCCACAGGCGTATCTTTAGAATCTCCCAGGTGATTATAGATTCCGTCAAGGTGACTGTTAACAGTAACCATCCCAGATGTAGATAATGAATTTTATCCTAGGTTTATTGTAAAGAGGAGACAGATGCTCAGATTTTAATAGACTGATTGTTGCAATATTTCAGGAAGGGGAATGCAAGAAAGGAAAAAACTATAAAGTGAATATGAATATTATTTTTACGCAAATGTAATTGTTCTATGTAGGAAGGCTGCTTTTTTGTTCCCGGCCACCCAGACCCCAAATAATCACACAGAAGCTATATTAATTAAAACATTGCTTGGCCTATTAGCTCAGGCTTCTTGTTAACTAACTCTTATATCTTAAGTTATCCCATTCCTTACTATGAGGCTCATGGTTTACCAGTAAGGTTCTGGGGCATCTATCTCCTTAGGCAGCTACATAGCATCTCCTTGACTCTGCCTACTCTCTCTGTACATCTCTGTTTGGATTTTCTGCCTGGCTTTATCCTGTTAAGTTATTGGCCAAAAGCAGCTTCTTTATTAACCAATGGCAATAAAACAAATTCACAGCATATACAGAGGGGAATCCCACATCATTTCTAGTTTTAGAAAAGAAAAGGACCTGAATCCTGGCATTGCAATCTATTAAAAGGCTCTGGCTTTGGGAGCCAGAGAGATGACTCAGTGGCCTAAAGTGCTTGTTGTACCTGTTTGGGAACCTGTGTTTGGATCCCTACGGTCCGGTCAGAATAAGAAGCGCTGTGTGGTTTCAGTGTGCATAATCTTAGCCCTTGGAGGCAAAAACATGAGACTCCTGGAAAACATCCTGTCTAGCTGGACTTATGAGTTCCAGGTTGAATGAGAGAACCTGTCTCAACAAATAAAGTGGATCTGGGAGGATCTGGGGGAGGGGAGCATATGAGCAGAATATATTGTATGAAATTTTTTTTTACAACAGCAACAAAAAAATAAAATGGAAAATGATGGAGGAAGACACAAGGTATCTGCCTTCCTCCGGCCTTCACCTACACACAAACAATATGCACATAAACACATAGAATTTAGATGTACGCATATATGGGAAAACATGGCTTTTGTGAGTTGTATATTTTACTTCTCTTCTGTGCATTCCAGTCTTTTATTCTGCATTTTTCAGAGATCTGGTCACAACTTTCATGAACTTCTAACTCTCTTCTTTTCAGGGTATATATTCCTCTTAACTGGCATAGGCATGCATCTTTTTGTCTTCTATCTTACCCAGAAATAACCTTTGGTGATTGTTTGAGGATTTTTTTTTTTTTTCCAAGCAGGGTTTCTCTGTATAGACCTGGCTGTCTTGGAACTCACTCTGTAGACCAGGCTGGCTTTGAACTCAGGCCTTTCTCTGCCTCCTGAGTGCTGGGATTAAAGATGTGTGCTACCATGCCACAAACTTGAAGAATATATTTTTAAAAGATGATTAAAAGATAGTGGTGCTGGACAGAAGGTGTAGCAAATTGAAAAGGTTATATTGGTATTTAAACATGAAAGTGAATATTGTTCTTTTGCATAATTCCTCACATGAAGTTTTGTTGTTTAGTGTTCAAACTCCATTTTATTTAATAGTTTTAAAAAATAATTTTCTTTTATTTTTGAAAGTATAATATAATTACATCATCTCTTCCTTTTTTCTCCTTCCAAACACTACTTTTGCTTCTCGGGCGAGGCGGCTTTCAGGTCAGCTCCAGCTTGGGAGCCTCTGAGCCCTGTGTCTGCAGTGCTTAGTGTCTTCAGCAATAGGGATTTACCTTCCACTTCCGGGGCAACTGAGGGTGGTAACAATAACCCATATGTTTTGGAAGTCTCTTGGACAGCCCTGGACTACAAATCAAAAGAGGGCTTCCCATTCCTGGTGTTGGGGTTTTTCCTAAGTGGTTTTGGATCTGTGAGGGGGCAGTGTCAGCTAATAGTTTTGATTACTTCAATTATTTTAAGATTTTTTTTTTTTATTGAGAAAAGGAAAAAACAATTTTCCGCCTCCTCCCAACCTTCCCACTCCTCTCCCCCTCCCTCTCCACTCCAAAGAGCAGTCAGGGTTCCCTGCCCTGTGGAAAGTCCAAGGTCCTCCCCCCTCCGTCCATGTCTAGGAAGGTGAACATCCAAACTGGCTAGGCTCCCACCAAGCCGGAACATGAAGTAGGATCAAAAACCCGTG